TGTCCACCAACTCTGTGACACATATAATGAGACTTCGGGTATAACGACACTTCGCGAATAGGGGCACTTTTCTGATGCCCGCCGAGTGTCGTTATATGCAAAGTTGACTGTATGTGGACTTTCTCCACCTGCTCCCAACCGAGTGCCATCTCCACACTTATACAATAGACGACAAGATTACTAGTGACACGACGAAGAAACACAACTGGACATGACAAACTTAAGGCGAAGGCTGCTTTTCACACCACAGCAGCACGCGCATGCACCAACACCAGGTACACACGACTTACACACAATAACGCTATACAACAGATTTGCTTCACTGAATGCGGTGGCTTCTTTCTGTGTGTAGAGAATGGAATGACCGGCATTTTGTGTGTGTGTTTTTCTGTGCAGGTCAAACTTTCGACTTGGGGGTTGTTTGGCTAAAGGTCACTCCGTACACAGTTTACTACCTGACTGGACAAAGGACATTATCGATTGGAATACAGTACCTACCACACTGCTCCGCTCAAGGTGCTACTGGTAAACTTATTCAACTGACTAACACTAACACTGGTGTGGTTGTTGCTGAACACAACCAACCGTTTACTCAGAGTGGCACCAAGGACATTACTAGTGCTACATGGGACTTCACCCAACACTCCACTCTCAACTCAAGCTACACTGGACTGTACAGATGTACATCAGATATAACGGGTCATACGACAGGACGAACTACCTATCAACTGCATGTCGTGGGTAAGTAGGAAGTATCAATACAGACCAACTTGCTGTGCACTTGTGCTGGATGTATGTGACGTGCTTCTATACTGTACGACACTACTATTTCGTTGTAACATCAAATTTGTTAATTTCAGCAAAGACGCCAGGTACAGTGAGGCACTTATTTTAGATATACCACACATAGGGTGCAGTGGGATAACAAACCACACATAGGGTGCAGTGGGATAACAAACCACACATAGGGTGCAGTGGGATAACAAACCACACACAGGGTGCAGTGGGATAACAAACCACACACAGGGTGCAGTGGGATAACAAACCACACATAGGTTGCAGTGGGATAACAAACCACACATAGGGTGCAGTGGGATAACAAACCACACATAGGGTGCAGTGGGATAACAAACCACACATAGGGTGCAGTGGGATAACAAACCACACATAGGGTGCAGTGGGATAACAAACCACACATAGGGTGCAGTGGGATAACAAGCTTAGCAATCTCTTCTCAGAATACTTGTGTAGTGATGCTATCATCAGGGCATATTGCACTGCACTGCACTGCACTGCTTGGCTAAAGAGTGTAGGAGTGTAGTCGGGAATACAATTTTCTAACTGGGAGAGTACACATTTGCGCCAGCTATTGAATGATTTATCTGCCATACATCAAGTATTTTCTATAATCTATAGGTTTCTACTCCATGAAACACTAAGTTTTTCTGGTCATAGTATACCCAACCCCCGCTTTGGTCCTCATTGTCACTGTGGAAATATCTAAATGAAGCTGTGTATACAAACATGTACTGTAGAGTATCTGGACTGGTTGTAAGAAGAGTACACTTCCTTGGATCGATATACGCGTGCATACTGAATGGCCTTTATTGTGACGATTACAACATGTTACGTATTGAAAGTACAGCGGTCGCAGTTATAATTATGATTTTTACCGCAACACATAATGGGATTTTCAGAACTGCAGTAAAAGCTTGTTATTACCAGACTCTCGCCCTAGCGGAATCCTGCAATGATCAGAAAAAAAACTTCATAAACTAACATACAGCCATTGAACATGTTAATGGTTGAGCACAATCTTGTCTAATGTAGAAAACGAACAGAGTTTTGGAGCATTTTGGAGCAGGTCATATGTTTTCTTGGAACAATCCAACTTCGTTTCACTCCATTTTCTTGCAATCTCATTTGGTTGATTGACTCGGCGTTCCAGGCCATTTTCGATCCTATTTATTGGCTTGCATGCCATCGCTGTAGACTTTCTAGTTGTTAGAGCCGTTAGAGAATGTTCAAATGTGCAAAACAAGTCGTTGCGGGATGTGGGTTAAGGGTCTTGTCCACTTTTCTGCGGTTAGGCACCTGTGTCTAACTGTGGTCGTAATTCATAGTTGTCTTGCTCTGTTATGTACAGTTCCACCCACAACGCCGGTACTTCAAACTCCAGTGTCAGTGTATAACGACACTCTATACAACATCAACTGTACCGGTCGAGGATACCCAGAACCTACAGTAACATTGATGGTCAACAACGCCGTATTGCCGGGCAGTGATACAGCCAATTGTACTGCTGGTGTGTGTACAAAGACACACACAGCATCTCTAGATGGGAGTAACTACACACTTGGCCAGTCCATCAATATAACCTGTACCGTGGATATCAACCAACCACAATTCACCTGTACTCCTGCTCTTCATTCAATATCACAAAAAAACTGTACTAAAACTGCCAAGACCAGCGCACACACAAGAACTGTTCCTGTACTTGGTAAGCACCAAGTTGTGTCTGCAGTTATTTTTACACAGAGTCCATCATTTCCTCAAAAATAACACTTAACCCAGGTTCACACCGGATGCATATCCACAGAAGCATGGACGCACGCATGATCGCGTGTGCTCATGCACAGATAAGCTCACACACACACGCACACACACACACACACACACTCACACTCACACTCACACACACACACAGCGCTCACACACACACACACACACACACACACACACACACACACACACCTTGGTCCTTGGTAAGACTGCCATCAAATGGTCACGTGTCCTCTGTGCAGGGGTCGATCCTTAGCATGGTCCTCTCTCAGCTATGCTATGGTTCGAATAGCTTTGTTCCTGGGCTTTCTGCCCAGCTGCTTGGACGTCTGGAGAAGAGTTTCACAGCCGGCATTCGTGCAACCTTGCAACAGCGCTTTCTCACCCCCACCGCACTGCTTCTGGCACTTCTTAGTATTGTCAGCCTGGCACACACATAAACTCAGAAAGTTCTAATTTTTGTACACCGCTTTATCAATGGATATTGTAGCCCACTCCTACAGTAACTCTTTACAACGACTGCTCCAAACACCGTGCTAAGCGATCAGCGCATCACTAGGGGCCAAGTTTCCAACTTGCTCCAAGTCCCTTTCCTTCGCGGGCCTGCCGGTCGCTCGAGTATGATGTTTCACGGCTGATGTAAGATCGATACCTGCTGCCGATCAATTCAAGAGAGCCCTATCTGATATTGACGTACTTTTAAACTTGTAAACTCTATGCCAACAGTCCAACACCCCTCGCTGTACTTCATGTTCCCTGGACTGATAAAAATTGTGCCCATCCAATAAAGTCTGCCAATGTTCACACATATATTTCTCATGAAATGATTCCACTACATTTTATTTCGAAGTAGTGGTTGTGACTTCGGCGATAATTTGTAAGAAAGGGTTTGCTCCCCACACCGGAGCTCGTGCTATTCCGCCGACTTTACTTGACACTTGACTGACTCACGACTGCCATCCAGAGCACACGAGAAGTCCATCGAACCTTCGACTCGGCAAACCTGCAAGAAAGCACCACTCCCTGCTCAATACACAGTGTTTTGGGGAATTCACCCCTCATCAGTTGAGCTTGAGTAGGCTGAGGAAGATTGTGCCTGAAGAGCACCACTTATATAATGCTCTCCAGGCACAAACATCACCAGGGATACAAACTTACCCGTTTCCAGCGGGACAAACACCTCGTGAACACCAGATAGCAGCGTGAGTCAGTGTTGCTCCTGGACGGTGAGACACTGACTCACGCTGCTATCTGGTGTTCACGAGGTGTTTGTCGCGCTGGAAACGGAGTGTCTCTGTAAGTTTGTATCCCTGGTGATGTTTGTGCCTGGAGAGCACTATATAAGTGGTGCTCTTCAGGCACAATCTTCCTCAGCCTACTCAAGCTCAACTGATGAGGGGTGAATTCCCCGAAACACTGTGTATTGAGCAGGGAGTGGTGCTTTCTTGCAGGTTTGCCGAGTCGAAGGTTCGATGGACTTCTCGTGTGCTCTGGATGGCAGTCGTGAGTCAGTCAAGTGTCAAGTAAAGTCGGCGGAATAGCTCGAGCTCCGGTGTGGGGAGCAAACCCTTTCTTACATTTTATTTGTTATCACAATTTAAAAAATTCACAAAAATTGAGTGTCAGCATACACACAATGTTATAACAAACATTTCTATAATATAAATTGTTCCGCTTGCATGTCTTTATCTCTATACATTTCCTCATATAATTTCTAAATAATCGACGTTGAGACAACAATTTTATAATAGCTATAAAGAGAACAAATTCTGCTGTCATCGCTGCACTACAACAAAGTCATGGAGGTTTACCAAAACCGATTTTCTTGTCACAATCATCAGTGGAAAGCCGTGACTGAAGAATAACCATACTAAATCAATACTAATTATTTATATACATTCAATAATGTGTTACGAGAATAAACAAAGTGCTAAAAATAGAATGAGGGAAGGTGAGACAATAGAAGTAAAGTGAGAGCTAAGTGCAACAGGGGTGAGGAACTAATTGCAACGCTAGAACTGTGTAGTGAGACAAACAATCATGCTGTGCACCTACGAACAATCTTAACGCATCTACATGTTTCTTCTGCTTACAAACATCAGGCTTATGCAAACGAATACAAACAGCCTCAAGTACTTTCAACGGACTAGCGTACCGTGCACGACAAAGAACAGAAAAACTAAAATCATCATACACCTGCAGACACTTAGGGTGAGCACCTTCCCTCATTCTATTTTAGCACTTTGTTTTGTTCTCGTAACACATTATTGAATATATACGAGAGAGCTTGGAAGCTCAGGGCCCTACGCTATGCTTTTTTGCCTTGATGACCTAGACAAGAAAAGCATAGGAATGTTATAAATTCTTTAAAAAATTCCTTTTTTTTTTAGACATAACTTGGGATTCGAACCCGCACTATCGCGCGCCCTGCATGCATCCCCCGATACACTTCGCATACATGCTAATTCTTCCAAGTTGCTTCACGTTATGATCTTGCATTTGAAAGCCCTATTTGAATATGCATTGTGGCCAGCCGTCTTTGATGGTACGGTACGGTACGGGATAGGTACGGGACGGGTATGATCGAGGGCAATACGACACCGTCTACCGCCTTGATGACGGCAAAAAAAAGCATAGCCACTAACCGGTGAGACCTTCCGTCACCGCTCCGCAATCTCCGAGGATGGTGCCCGCCTGGATGTGGCCGCATCGGGTGTCTGGGGTGGACGTTTCGAACGGGCACTACTGGACATCCGGGTGTTCAACCCGCACGCTCGCTCCAACCGCCAGCAGCCCATCACGGCCATCTACCGGAAGCATGAGGCCGAGAAAAGGCGCGCGTACGAAGAACGCGTCCGGGAAGTTGAACACGCGTCTTTTTCTCCCATTGTGTTCAGCTCTTCCGGCGGCTACGGCAAGTCCGCCTCCGCTTTTTTCAAGCGTGTCGCCTCTATGCTCGCCAACAAGAGAAAGGAGCCCTTCTCCTCACTTCTTGCCTTTATTAGGTCAAGGGTTTCCTTTTCTCTTGTTCGTGCCTCCAATGCCAGCCTCCGTGGTCACCGCAGGCCACGGTCTCAAGATGCCCGCCAGAGAGTCATTGACTCTGATGCTTCTGTGGTCCTTGCTGCTGCAGAGTACTTTCGGTAACTATCCGTGGTGTGTTTGGCTACTGTTCTGCTTCATCCCCTCCCCCCTTTTTCATGATTTTGCATGTTATCATTTTCTCGGATTCCGGTTTTCCACTCTGTTATGTTCGAATCCATAGTCTGTCTGTACATTATTTGTACGCAACTTCTCATTGTTTTTTTTTGTTTTTTGTTTTTTTACCAGAAGTGGGCCATCCCCTGATCATAGGTGCCAAACATTTTGCGTTTTTTTGTACTACTACAAGTACAAGTACTACTGTCGCCGAAAAAAAAAAAAAAAGCATAGGGATGTTACAAATTTTTCAATTCTCCTTTTTTTTCAGGCATAACCTGGGATTCGAACCCGCACTATCGCCCTACATGCATTCCCCCTTACACTTCGCATTCACACCCATTCTTCCAAGTTGCTTCTTGTTATGATCTTGCGTTTGAAAGCCCTATTTGAATATTGCGGCCAGCTGTGTTTGATGGTACGTTACGGTACGGGTCACATACGGGATAGCGCCAGGCGTGACAGAAACAAACAAACACACAAATACCAAATTAAAGCTGTGTGGACCCTGGCTAGCGCCAGACGTTACTGAAGTAACGTCTTACTGAAGTAACGTCTTCTGCATAGCTACGGGAATAAATTATTGATTTAGTATGGTTATTCTTCAGTCACGGCTTTCCACTGATGATTGTGACAAGAAAATCGATTTTGGTAAACCTTCGAGGCTTTGTTGTAGTGTGGCGAAGACAGCAGAATTTGTTCTCTTTATAGCTATCATATAATTTCCTTCATCTTTCTGTGAGAACCGGACCTATAGGCTGGTAAGAAGGCTATCATGCCTGTGCAATTGGTGAAGTCAAATAAAAGTCAACAACAACGCACACGAAACACACGCACACACACACACACACACACACACACACGCGCACACATGCACACACACGCACACACACACACACACACACACACACACAAACACACACACACACACACACAAACACACACACACACAAACACACACAAAAACACACAAACACACGCACACACGCACACACACACACACACACACACACAAACACACACACAAACACACACGCACACACACACACACACACACACAAACACACACACACACCTTGACCTTGACCTTGATCTTGCCCATTGCGTACGCAATGATAGCGAATGTCGGAAAGTTCAAGTGAGGACACGAGCGCAGAGCTTGGCATGTCGTTTCAGGTCTCCTGGTCGTCGAAACGGGCGTCCACAGACACATAGAAGAGGATCAGGAGCTTGCCGTGGCGGTGGAGTGCTACTCGCAACTCGTCTCCAGCCGGGACGATATTGGCAACTCTCAAGCCAGGTGGTCACGCCGAGGTCCGCCAGGTCAGTCGACACCACATCTCGCCACCTCTTCTTCGGGCCGTGACGAGGACGGGGGGCAGGCAGCTCGCCGAACAGCAATTGCTTCGGTGCGCGCGAGTCGTCCATCCTGCCGACGTGACCCAGCCAACGAAGCCGGTGGCGACGGATGATGCTGGTGATGTCAGGGTTAACACCGAATGTAGCCGCTAATGTGGCCGTTGAGATCCGATCATCCCACTGTTGACGCCGGCCGATACCCACGATGGACCGAACACACTGATGGTGAAACGTGTTTAGCTTCTGGAGGTGGCCTGCCTTGGTGGTCCACGTCTCCGCACCATACAAGAGGGTCGTGAGGACGACAGCCTCATAGACACGCCTCTTGCTGCGAAGCGACAGGGTCTTGTTATCAAAGACAGGAGCTTTGAGGGCTCCGAA